TTGAGGACTTGAAGTTCGAAGGTGTGGTGGGTGTGAGCCTAATCATAGTTTTCATCTGTCACTAGGTGCAACCGATCAAGAGTCTTGTGCACCCAATGTATCAATATAAGGGTTAGAGGGATTCAACTAAGGAGTTAGGTCAGAGGGATTGTAACTTCGCTGGTGCTTGCCTTAGACGACAATGTATGGTCAAGGGGCAGGGAAACGACATAGATGCAATGAAACAACCACTTGTGTTGGGATTCAACGGAGGGAAACATTGGGTTGGGATTCTTGTGGGAACCACCACCGATAGGGGCCGAGGGATTTAGGAAATTACATTTGGTAGTCAGCTGGGCAATTCGAGATATGAGTGACACAAATGGCCCTGATTCATCAGGAGGAAGGATGGATGACCAGTGATAACAGTTACAATAATCGTATTAAGCAGACAATTGTCTTGGTAATTTGACAGTATCATCCGGTGGTTGTTAGTGGATAAAAACACTTCATTGCACACGCTCAAACAAGTCTATTTCATTATAACATCATCTTCAAGAACATAGATCGCATTCAATCTAATTCTTGACAGAATCAGTAGCCTTTACTTTAGTGTACGTAGGTAGCATAAGATAAACGAAGTGTATGTAGTAGGATGCATGATAAATAGAATGTATAATAACTAGCAGTCTTTCTATTTCTTTGCAAAGTCTCTTCTTCAATCTTAGACTAGAAAAAGATGGCCCCTTAGGGACCTTTGGATACAAAGACTTCTGACATATTAGCGTCGTAGTTTTAAATTCCTGAATTGAACCAATTTCAATTAACAACAAAATAAGGAAATGCTACCGCAAATCTATTGGTAGTCGTTTGGGCCACTACCCACAAACAAACCCTAGTTTCAGGTAGAACTATGTTATGGATTCTCAAAATCCAGTATCGCCATTACTTTCCGGCCCTAACTTAGGGGGGTGCAGAGACACTTGTAGGGCCGCCCCCACCACCATGTCTGCCATAAACCCTCTAGGAGTCACTGACACTATATTTTCCTCGCGTGTAGGTGCATAGGCCATCGCCACCTTATCCTCTACCTGTAAGGAAGACAAGGGGGGCATCCAATGGCCATCGCGGCGCACGGGGGTAGAGCACGACGAACATAGAGGAAGAGCCCGATGCATGCAGAGGAGTAGTTGACGGAGCAGATAACACCACTACAAAAAAGGTTTCAAGAGACAACTAATTTTATTAAAGGACATGATCACAAAATGTATGCGCCTCCCAAAATACCTAACAATTTTTGGAGGTGATTGTTTCATTTATGGAGACGACAAAAAATTGTCTATCTCCCAAAATCGATTAACGAACATGAGCCTCTCCTCTATTTTTAGAGGTGGACCTCTTAAGAGGCCCACCTCTGTTAACCAAGGTCCATCCCAAAAGCCCATTTAACCCCTCATGTATATAATAAAGGGGACCAAACCCTAGCCGCAATCTCTCTCCCTCCCTCAGCCGCCACACAGTGCGTAGGTGCAATGGGCCGAGATCTATACCCAAGGCACAGGTGCAGGTGCGATGGGGTCCCCTAGAGCCATTCTCTTCCCTATAGCCGGGATCCACCCAGGGTGTAGGTGCGACAGCGGCGACGTTATCTGTCTCTCCTTCCCTCTTGTTCTCGCGCATGCACACAAACTTTCTCTCAACTTCTCTCTTGCAGATCTAGTTGCGACGGCGTGAGAGCTGGGCGAGCCCCTCCAACGGTGGCGGCGTGGGGCCTAGGGTGACCTCCTCCTCCCGCAATGGCACGGGGGTTCTCCAAAGGCTGCAGCATGGGCTCCCCCTATGTGGCTGTGACGTGGGCTAAGGCAAGCCATGATGACTGTAGATCTAGCAGCGACGGTGCGTGGGCTGAGGTGAGCCATGGCGACCCCAGATCTAGCACAACGGCTGCGTGGGCTAGGGTGAGCCACATCGACCGCAGATATGGCAACGGCGACATGGTGGACAACGGGCTCGATTATGGGCTTAGTCGCTAGGATCAGCGGCCCTTGTTTTTTTTCTCAATTGATATATGGATGCAGGCATGGGCACCACCTTTGTTAACTATGATTAACAAAGGCGCCTAAACAGAAGCAGACAGGCTGCCCGCCGTCTCCGAAAACTGTTTATGACCAACTTTGATAATGTATCTGGTAGTAGTGTGACTGGAGCGAAGAGGATGGGCGCTAGATCTCCCGCCACCATGGCCACTGCTTGGGCATGGCAAGGGTCGAGAGCATCGTGGAGAGGTGCTGCAGCATGGAGAACAGGAGCTAGCGGTCAGGCAAGAAGGAAAAGAGGAGTGGTGGGGCGACGGGGCTAGGAGGCCGGCCCAACTATGGGGTGGTCTAGCAGCGTGCGGTGAGATGCTAGAATCACAAAGGATTTCTCCTACTGGTAGCCCCGCATGGATTTTGATTCCTTGTTAACATGGTGCGAGGAAAGAAATCACGGGGTGGAGCATCTGGCACAAAAGCACGACGTTTGGGACAATTGGTTCATTTTTTTTCACCACAATTGCCTCATAGGTTGTTCCAAACAGGCCCATATATAAACTTCCTCGCTTTGTAAGAAAAAATAGCAAATCGCTACAAAAAAAGATTTTAGGAGACAACTAATTTTATTAACGGAGGTGGTCATAAAATGTATGCGTCTCCTAAAATACCTAACAATTTTTTGAGGCGGTCATTTTGTTTACGGAGACGAAAAAGTTGTCAGTCTTCCAAAATTGACTACTAACGGCTCTGAAAATGGCCTCTATTTAAGAGGCCTGTCTCAGTTAACTAAGTCCAGCTCAAAAGCCCAATTTAACCCCTCACGTATATAAGAAGGGGGACCAAACCATAGCCGTAGTCTGTCTCCCTCCCTCCCTCAGCCGCCACACAGTGCATAGGTGTTGTAGATCTGGTGGAGGCAGCGCGAGGGCTAGGGCGAGCCCCTCCGGTGGCGGCGACGTGGGGCCTAGGGTGACCTCCTCGGTGGTGGCTGCGCGGGGCCTAGTGCGACCTCCTCCGGCGGTGGCATGGAGGAGGTGGCTGCGCGGGGCCTAGGGTGACCTCCTCCGGCAGTGGCATGGGCTGAGGCGAGCCACGACGACCGCAGATCTAGAAGTTGCGGCGAGGGCTAGGGCGAGCCATGGTGACCATAGATCTGGGCAACGACGGCGTGGTGGGCAGCGGGCTCAGTCGTCGTGCTCAGCAGCCCTTTTTTTGTTGACCGGGACTAAAGGTGTTTATTGAGTAAAAAAAGGTGGGGTGTGGAGATTTGAACTCAAGACCTCCCACTTCAACCATTGCGCACATTGCCATGTCAACTCCACGACACATCTATCATAAACAAAGATATGTTTTTCTTTTAAATTCACTCTGGAGACACCTTTAGTCCCGGTTTAAGACACGAACCCGAACTAATCGGGACTAAAATTCACAATTTTAGTCTCGGTTTGTGTCTCAAACCGGGACTAAAGCCTCCCGCACTGACATGCCTTGGTGACCGTTACAACCAGGATTAAAGGGTGGAATTAGTCCCGGTTTGTATGAAACTAAAAGGTACCAGGCCTCCCTTTAGTCCTGGTTGCAATTTTAATACGGGACTAAATACTTTTTGTCCATCAATAAAAGGTCGTTTCTCTACTAATGGGGCATGGGCACCGCCTCTGTTAACTGTGACTAAACAGAGGCGGACAGGCTGCCCGCTTCTGAAAACTGTTTGTGATGACCGTCTCTCATAACGCTGGTAGTAGTTTTTTTTAAGGAATATCTGGTAGTAGTTATTAAACAAAGGATGATAGAGCAGAACGCATAAGAAGCAGCAAGAAAACGTTAATTCTCATGTACATCGTCCAAACCACTGTGACGCAACTGATTCATTAACAATAACAATGCAACCTATATCGAACGAACTTACTGCTACCCATGATAAAAATGAATATCCCTAATTAACCTGATAGTTGCTTTATCTGGTGCTCAATAGTCAATTATCGGTCGGTGGTACTTTGAAGTTTGAAACAGCTCTCTCTCATTTTCTTGAAAGATCCATCTTTCTAGAGTTTCAAATTAGAGTATCACGCAACACGCATACCTTGTATCTTTTCGTCAAAATCTGGTGTTATTTTGTGAACTTATGGTGGAGATCATTTCAAAATCCTTTTCAACAATTAAGGTGATAAGTTTCAGACTTGGTTGGAGAACAGCTCTTTTAGGAACAGACGGGTTGCATGCTCTTGCATCTGTTGGGTAGGTGTCCTCTCCCTTTAGTCAATGGTCTCCATTGCACAAGACTAAAAAAAATTAAGGTGGTAAGTTTCAGACTTGGTTGGAGAACAGCTTCCAAAATCCAGATACTAACCGTTTCCTCTGTACCTCTATTAGGAACACAACTCAAAAGAAGCCATTATCGATTGCTTTAAAAGAATGTTGAGCCAGTCCTAGGTAAGTCCCAATTATGAGTTCAGCGATATAACAAGGATTATATTGATTTGTTTTCCACACGAGCTATGTTTGGCATAGGTGAGGTGGGGGTTCTATTTTTTACGAGGTTAGCCAAATAATTAAAATAATAGATAAAATCTTGTCCGATTTTTTTAGGAGGTCAGCCAAATAATTAAAATAATAGATAAAATCTTATCGGATTTGTGTCAACAGCAACAGCAATTAAATCGCTAATAATGACGATAGATAGAGCAGGACGCAGAGGAAGATATTCATCCAAACCACTATCTCGCAGCTGATTTATTCATGTAACAAATTGACTCGCAACTGATGATTTATTCATGTAACAAAATGAATGTCCATGTAAAAAAATGAATGTCCTGCTAGTTGCTTGGTCCAAAAGCTTTATTTTATTGCTGAACCTACTAGCGTGTAACTAACCAATGTAGCTAGCTATTAACTCAACCAACCACACTACTATCGTCTACTAGCTATTAACCCAAGCATGCAAACCCTGCAAACCCTGATCGATCCATCATATATATTTCACAGTATCTAGACGACAGGCTTGGCCGGCATCTCGTCGCCGGCGAGGAAGTGCGCAAAGACCTGGCTGGCCTGGACGGGGGTGATCATGGGTACCATGTGTCCGGCGCCGCGGACGGTGACGAGGGTGAGGCCGTCGTAGACGAGCGTGTAGCCGCCGACCTGGTCGGTGGTGAACCACTCGCGCCACTCCTTGACGGTGGCGAGGCCCAGCTTCCGCAGCGCGTACCGCGTCGAGGTCACCGGCACCCGGTCGTCCGTGTCGCCGCTGAACACCCACACGCGGAGCTTGGCGTCCACCAGATGCCTGATGGCCGGCAGCGTCGACGGCGGCGAGTCCGTCCAGTTGCTCAGCGCGTCGCTGCAGGGCTCCCAGTTGTAGGGGATCCCAGTGACGTTGGCGTGCAGCGCCTTCTGCACGTCGGCGCGGTTCAGGTAGTCGAACACGTGGTAGTCCACGCACGGGTCGTACGTGTTGTACGGCATCCCGCGGTGAACCTTCTGCATAGGGTACAACACACATAAAATATCAGGCATCAACTACCCCTTGCATGCGTTGCTTGTAGTTGTTGTAGGCGATCGACAAAATAGAAAACATATACTATCTTACACCGAGCGGCGTGTCGGCGAGCTTCCATGAGCGTCGGGAGGAGGAAGAAGATGAGTTGGTGCGGCTGGCGTTGGCCATGGCGTCGGTGCACGCCGGGGTGTAGAGGCTGTAGAGGTCGATGTCCCGCATGACGGCGAAGAAGTCGCTCCAGGCCTGTTCGCACTTGTCGCTCTCGTTGCCGTCGTCGGGGAAGGTGCACTCCTTCTTGATGGCGCCATACACCTCGTCGGAGAGGACGGCGTGGTCCCACGCGTAGTCGGCGAGGCCACGGTCGTCGGAGCTCGAGTCGATGGCCGCGTTGCCGATCATGATGCCCTTGAGGTTGATCCGATCCTTCCTGTGTGCCTTCTTGTTGCCCTCCAAGATCTTCACGCCAAGCTGAGGAATGTAGTGCCCTGCATGCCATGCATTCATCCATTGCTCCATGAGTGATGGATCTAGATATATCAGCTATATAGATAGATGCGTGTGTGCCTGCCATGCATGCATAATCTGCAACAACATGTATATATACATACCCGCGTAGCTCTCCCCGGCGAGGTAGAAATCGTGGCCCTTGAACTGTGGGAACCTCTTGAACCAGTTCAAGAGGAAGGCATGAGCGTCCGTTGCTTCAGTTCACAGGGAGATGCATGAATAATGTCAGTACTCAGAAAAGAAAAGGACGATCGATCGATCTACGATGAAGAACATGGATGTATGTATACCGGTGAGCTCATCGCCGAATTGGCTGAGATCCTTGGAGGTGTTGGTGTAGGAGAATCCAACGCCTGCTGGGGAGTCGACGAACAGGAGGTTGGCCTCCTTGTTCCATGAATTAGGGTTGAGGCTGATCTCTGGCTTCCCCTTCTGCACCAAGAATGGACCCAGCTCCTCCAGTGCTCCATATCCCACCGACGAGCATCCCGGTCCTGCATGTATGCACACCGATCCAATAGCGAATGCATCAAACAGATCCATCCGTCGACTACGTACGTGATACGGTAATAGAACAAATTAAATGATCGGAACGGTAAGTGTAGATTAATCTATAGATAACAACCATATGATGAGAAACTGATGAACAATGAACAGATGAAATATGCATGCAAATAGATCTACGTACTGCTAGCAACTGATGAATAATGAATAGATATGCTTGCAGATCGATCTACTGCAAGTAGTAGGCAACAACTAACGTAACGTACAACCGTACCTCCGTTGAGCCAGAGCACGAGGGGCTTGTTCTCCACGTCGTGCGTGGCCTCGAAGAACCAGTAGAAGAGGGCGCGGCCGTGGGACTCGTTAGCCGTCACATAGCCGGCGAACTGCTGGAACCCGACCTCGGATGGCTGTCCCGGCAGAGTATCCACCCGGTCAGCTTCCTGACGGTCAAACACATCCTCATAAGGATCTCGGTGGCCCTTGCGGTGCTGCCTCACGGCCTCCGCGGCCGTCCATGCGCCGGCGACGACGAGAACCACGAGCAGGAGTTTTGTCAGCGACATGCCTACGGTTGTTTGCGTCCCGGTGCTACTGATGATCCCTTGAGATGACCAACCACATATTTATATAGGCAGGCGTACGTGGTAGGCCGCCGGGCTAAGGTTATGTTGAGCGATATCTGTCTAACAGATAAGGATTTTTGTTTGAGATACTGTAGAGGTCGTTTGGATCTCATTAGAATATCTCATCTCTCGCAACTAATAAAAAGACTAGGTTCGTACCCGTGCGTTGCTATGGAACAGCTAAATTTTTGTACTAAAAACACAAGGATCGCATGATAAAATAATAATACTATAAAATTAAATACCGACGTTAAAGTGATATTTACTCCAAAAGGCAAAGTTCGTGAAATGGAGTCGCATCGCCTTCTCCTTCCACGCCACCCGGCGTTCTCCTTCCGTGCTGCTCGGCTCATCTGCAATGGAGTCGTCTCCCCGAGCAGGAGACGTTGCGAGCAACAGTACACTTGCTGAGGGAGGGGAATCGATGCACGCATTGATACTAGCGGCGAGGGAGGGTGAAGGTTTATTACGTAGCGAAGAAGTAGGTGGCACCATTATATGCTGTCGATGAGCCCTTTGCAGCCGAGTGAGGACGCGGGACGGGGGTCGCGCGATCACGCGGCGCGATGATTGCCGGTGGGGGTGGTCTTGGCGCGGGCGGGCGAAGACGTGAGTCTCGAGGGGGCGAAGGTGCAATTATAATCTGATAGAAAATGGAAACGTTAGCCTGTGATGGAGCACGATTGATTTTGGTTTCTATCTATGTATCTCTTGATTGAGCGAGATTGGTTTTGGTTATGTATCTTGATTGAGCGAGATTGGTTTTGGTTTTAAAGATGGAAACGTCAGGTACCGTGTGCGCGATTGATTTTGGTTTCTATATCTACTTATTGATTATGATTTGTGAACACCTATTTTTTCTTGGAAACAAAGCGCTAGCATGCGCCCTCATATATTTACGTATTTCACCATTTATTTTTATACAAGAAAACATATACGTAATGTATTTCACCATTTATTTTTATACAGGAAAATATGTCATGGTGACATCATCATGACATCACCTGTCTTCAAGCTCACGCATCATCTCCGTAGACTGCGAACGATGGAAGGACGATGGTGGGAGGGCCGCTAGGGTGCTCGGCGACGACGGCCATGACTGCGAGCGATGGAAGGGCGGTGGTGGGGCGGCCGCTGGGGTGCTTGTTGACGACGACCACGACTGTGAGCGCCAACACCACGGGGACGGTGCACCGGCCCAATGCGCGACCGCCAGCGGTTGCGCGATTGCGGCAGGGGGAGGCGGGGATTGGCGAGCGCAAGCAAGCACCTCTCTTCCCTTCCCCGACGCGCGAACAACGGAGGCAGTGAGCGATCGCCTCTCTTCCCTTCCCCGGCAGGAGTTGATTGGCGGCAGCAGCGTTGGCGGCGCTAGAGGGCACCGACGACGAGGCCTGGCTTAAGGGCACGGGACGACGGTCCCAATTGGTGCTCTGGTTCAAGGTGTTGAGCGACGTGGCCAGATTTAAATCCAATTTATCTATATGACTCGACTTTCATAATTTGAAATGAGAAAAAGAAACTTTTATAAACGAAAAAAGAAAAATAAAGAGAGCTAATACACTGTCAAGCAGAGCATGAGGTTTTCAATTAAAAATAAGGAAGCAAAAAGATTCCATAAGAATATGGACTTGAAGAATGCTACCATAACAAATATGTTGAGAACATAATTCATAAGAGCATCTCCAAGAGTTTGCTATCTCAACTTGGTATCCATATAATTTTGGCAAAACAAGAAAAAATAGCCTCCAACAGTTTGGCAAAACAACTTGGCATCAATAGCAACTTGGCAAATCTTCCCTCCGCGCGCGCAAATATACGCGCTCGTATACGGCTTGGCATTCGGGGCTCTTCGTTTCTTAGCGGGGCTCTTCGTTCGCTTAGCGGGGCTCTTCGTTCGCTTAGCGGGGCTCTTCGTTCGCTTAGCGGGCCTCTTTGTTTTGTTAACGGGTTTTTTTTTATTTTACCAAGTCAAAAATACCAAACTCTTGGAGATGAATTATTTTTTTATTTGTCATATAATTTTGGGAGTTGGCAAATCACAAGATTTACCAAGTAAAATTTGACAAACTCTTGGAGATGCTCTAACTCAGGAGAATATTACCAACTCTGGAAGCAGCTGTCTATTTTGAGAGTATCCACCATAATGAGGTAGCCTCAACTCTAACTGAATCGTTTAACCTTGTCGAATGAGCCTTTACATTGTTTTGCTTCAATTATGAATTTCCCCTGATGTGGTTGTGCCAATGCTTCATTAGGGCCACAATGTTGTGACGTCATAAGAAGGAATTGTTTGAAAAGGGCATTGAGAAATTTGTTTCAAGCATGGCATATAAGAACTGAAGAGTATCACTTTATATTCTTGAATCTCACACGGGATGTCAGTGACTCAGTGCTCCGGTTCACTTTTTCAAGACAAATGTTTATATATGAGTAAATCATGGTTAGTTAGTAAAACACCTCTACAATTCAGTAAATTGCTGCTAATTAAATTACACCGGGGCCAAATTAGAATAGAACATATAATTTCTGCAGTGCTGATTATCTTCGGTTTTAGAACTCAAAATTAGCAATCACAGATGCAGGAGCATACCAAAGCTTCTTGCGACTAAATAAAGACACAAAATTAGCAATCCCAGATGCAGGAACGCATCAAGCTTCGTCCGAGGCAACCATGTCTCCATCCAGACCTTCGATATTGCAACGGGGAGCAAGATGGGTAAGAATCAGCACTGAGAGACATCAATGGAACATGGAACAGAGTTACTCACTGACCGGTTATGAAGACCGTGAGGTTTGCATTGTTATAGTTCAACGGCCACAGGAGTGGCCGAGGAGCCCAGGCCGCGCTGCGAACGCGAACTTCTCGCCTTCTCAGCCACGAGGGCACGAACCGGACGGGACGACGTTGCCCATGGATAGATAGGACACCACGAAGGCACGAACGTGTAGTTGAACGTCGTGTTGGCCGCCCCCGCCGCGCCGGCATCTAGTTTCTGGACCTCAGCGTAGGACATAACGCTAGTGGCGTTGCTTCCGTGCTGCTTCGGCCTCGCTCCAACCACCGGCGGCCTGACGGCACTGATAACCTTGTTGCATAGGAACCACGTGCGGCCGTACAGCGGGAGAACCATGACCACGTTGCTAGCGGGCACGCCCACCTTGATCCACAACACGACGTCATAGCTAGCGCGATGGACCCGGCGACGAACGCCGCACGGGACGCCGGGTCCGCGGCCATGACCGCGAACGCTGAGTCGATCTCATGAGCAACCACTGGCGACTTCCTCTGTCTTCTCCGTTGCTGCTGCCTAGGTCTCGCCGGGCTCCTCTCGCCGCGGCAATGAAGGGTCTGCAGCAGTGCGGCAGACAGGCTTTGGACGACTTGTGACCGCTGCGTTGCGTTTGGGTTTAGGGAGGCAACAAGATCAAATTAAATCTCCAAGATTGCGGGCCGAGGAAGCGCGCCGTCCCGTAACTTGGGTTTAGGAAGACAATTTTACTTTAGGAATTATCCTAACCACTTTTATATATTCTTTTATTTTTGTATATTTGCATTAGGAATTCTTTCTTATTCTTTATTTTTTTCCATCCTTCCACCTGTCGGCGCACGTTGTGAAGTGTCGCGGGATCGCACGGGGAGAGGCAAAGCGACGACCAGAAAATTGTCACACCATTCGGTTGTCTTAGTTTTGTTTTTTTACATGTAGGAGATTAAAAAATGGACATCGTTTTAGCGCGACAATCTAAGTTTGGGTCGTGTGCGATCCCATGCTCCCTCGCACGGTCCCCAGCGCTCGCTCCCTCCCTTTCCCTACAAATACCACTCGCCGCGGGCCCCACCTGGACGCCTATTAGAAAATGCCACCCAGCAAATAACACGCCGACGCACACGCCCCTGCAATCACCGGACGTACCCATGGAAAGAAACCCGCGACGCCGTTTCTTTATTTCCCGTAGATCGCTCGGCTCCGTCTTCCTTAATCCTGATTCATTGATCCACCGGCCCGAAGGCAGCAAGCACCCATCGATGCCGTGCTGATCCGGCCCGGCGAGACCGGCTCTATCCCTCTCTAACACCTCTGGTGTTACGATCTTACTTAGTACTTAGATTAAGGCCTAAAAGAAATTAACAAAACAAGTTTTCGGGTATTAAATTTTTTTAAAAACTCCCAAGAAAGGATAATTGAATTGTAGGTCTCATTTTTATGAGAAGAGAAGCGAACGGATATTGCAAGTTAGTTCAATTAATGTGTAAACGTGCTTATGAAATTCTAATAAGAAAAAAAATAGGATAAGTTGTTTTAGATGTCGGCATGAAAAACAATTTCTGTAAATGAAAATGTGACATAACTTATAATTAGAAAGTGCTATTTTTGAAGAATTATAATGTGCAAAAGACTTAAATAGTGCTTTAATATTTTGTTCCCACGAGTTAGTACGAAGTATGGACTAGGTTATGACATGTTGTTTAGTTGAAATTGACGAAGTTCCGACCTTTTAAAAATTCAATTAAAGGTGTTAATGGTTGTTTAGTTCAAGCGGGACTCTCGTCCTTTCTAAGTCTGTAACGATGCATGACAATGCCATTTTGGCATTTGATTTCCAACAAAAATGGTTAAGCACTGCATCCATGTTCTTGCACCAGTGGTTGCTTCTAACTTAGCACTTGGGCAAGGTGTAGGTCGTAATTGAGTTGGATGTCAACTTGAACTCTTAAAAATTGCCAAAACTTCGATCAGAACGCACTAGAACCTTGTCACTGGTACTCTGCTCGTGAACCAGTGCTCAAGCGACATGATCACCTTGGCATCCTCCTCTCTCCCTCTCTAGTCACACTTTAGTCTCGACGATTGCTTCGCTAGATAGCTAGTGGTGTGGACTTTAGGTTCGTGTAGTTGGTTGAGCCTTAGTCGAGCTTTTAAGCGGTTTTTGGTATG